TCGGACAAGCATGTATCTGCTCATACGGCATCTTAAGTGCCCGAAGGAGCTTCTGTGAATCGTACATGCTCTTTGGCAGAATGTGGCCCTCCAGAAGCAGGGTGCCAATCACGATCAACATCTTATCGAAGCCGTCTCGACTGATGTTTAACTCAGACTTCAACGCCATCAAGCGTCCAATGGCGTCAAGTTCAGACACCGAGGACCGATCGTAAAGGGGCTTCTAAGCAGAGTTCATCATCTCGTAGAAAGCCTTTGTGGCTGCCTCCATCTCCTCCTTCTCGCATTCGTCAACGCCGAGTGCTTGGTGAACATCATCTAACAAGTCTGGTACACCGGCATCATCATCAAAAGCTTCGACGCGTGGTCTCACCACCTCCTCTCTCGTACGATGGGCTTCACCATGGTAGATCCACCGGGTGTAGCCCGGCATATATCCATTCTTCACAAGATGTTTACCCATGTCGACCCTGTTTATCCTTCTCCTGTTTGCACATTTGGAGCAGGGACACGGGTCTAGCAGATGTGATGACGAAGCCTTGCCAAATGCCTTGTTCAAAAAAGCCTCGGTCTTGCGAAACCATTCATCTGTGTACTCCATGTGACTTTTCCAGCCCGTGTACATCCACTGACGGTCATCCATCCTCTAAAATGCCAGCGAGTAATGCAACCATCAACTACATCTACACGACTTTCATACTGTCTAATAGGTGAGGATAGGTCTAAATCCCACCCGCGGATGCGTAGATTAGGTTAGTTACCATGGTCTGCTCCTATCCCAGACATAATTTCGGCAGCACCTCCCCGCTGTTCTCCCGATACACGTCCTGGCAGGGAGAGTGTGTATCCGGAGAACAACGGGGAGATAATGCCGAAACCCTGTCTCGGATCAGAGCGGACCATGGAAACTAAACTCATCTACCCATCCGCGGGCTGTCCAAATAACGTGGACAATCTAAAAAAGATACGGCCGTAGATATGCAAAGATATGCATACCACCAACCGTATCTCTTTCGGACGGGAGACGCCTAACTTGGTTACGCGATCTACGACCAAGGTACGCAAAAGAGGGGGTTATACCTAGGGTGTCGGTGGAGTCAGGCTAGCGGGGCGGTGGTGAGTCGGTGCAGTGGCGAGGCGACGCGGTGTAGGCAGACCCGCAATGCCGAGGAAGACGATCGGTGTAGCCAAGGTGCTCCAGCTCCGCTCAGACAGTTCCTTCACCTGCATGAAAAACAAATAGATTTGGGTCAATTCTAAATTTTGGCAGCACCTCCCCTGCACGGGGAGGTTTCCAAAACCTGCAAAAAACAACGGCTCGAAGGCCAACAATCACAACGGCTCGAAGGCCGACAATCACAACGGCTCAAAGGCCGACAATCACAACGGCTCGAAGGCCGACAATCACAATGGCTCAAAGGCCGACAATCACAATGACACATCATTATACCTTGGCGGCAGAGGCATCGACGAGACGGGAACACGCGAAAGATGGCGCCGGGAACGGAACGGAAGGCAACCTCCTTCCTCCTTCTTCCTCCTTCCTCTCCCCCTTCTTCCTCCTTCTGCACCGGTCGTTCGGTGGGGCGTGGTGGGGCGGGGAGCGGCGGGGCAGCGGCCAGCAGGGCTGGGTGCGGCGCTCTTCGCCGGTCGCGGCGGCGGGAAGCAGGGCCGGACACGGCGTGGCGCCGTCGGCGGGGGAGGGTCGGGCGGGCTTGATGCGGCGTGGGGCAGCACAGCAGCTAGCAGCTGTGCGGCACAAGCGCGCCAGGACAGCCAGCAAAGCAAGCATGCAGCCAGCGCTATGGCTTCTATGTGCGCGCGTGGCGGGTGCAAGGGGGGCAGCAGCGAGCGGCATCAGGCAAGGGCGGCATGGCGGATGTGGCTCAGGCAGCGGCAATGGCGGTGGTCTTGGCGGCGGCGGCGACGCCAGCGGGCGCGGCTGGGAGCGGTTGTGTGGATAGGGTTTGGCCGGGGTGGGCCGGCCGGGGCCCATTTTGATGTTAGGTCCTTTGCCGAGTGCCACGGGCCGGCACTCGGCAAAGGTTTTTTATTTTTTTGTTTATTTTCTTTGCCGAGTGCCCTGTCTCTAGCACTCGGCAAATACCCTCTTTGCCGAGTGGCAGGTCTGGCACTCGGCAAAGAAATTTTTTTTTTAGTTTTGCTCCCATATTTTTTCTTTAGGGTTGCTACAGTGCTTTAAAGTACATGTTAAAATTTGGTTGAATTTTGTGACTTTTTACTATATTTTTAGAATTATTTTTGTTTTGTTGATTTATTTCTCAAAAAGCAAGTTTGAACTGCCTGTGCATCGAATAATGAAATCTAATCATTCGAAAAATGATTGTCATGCTAGTGAGTGTGTTTTGAGGCCGTATCCAGGAACTTGTGGGATATTTTCACATCTTGTTAACGAAACATGAGGACAAAGTTGCGGCCAAAGTGTTTTCAAATTGTATAAAATTCAAACGAATTCAGAAAATCACGAAACTTATGGATGCATCGTTATATAGCATGTGGAGCCTATGGTAAAAATTTAAAAAAGTTTCGTGCACGTTGTCATGTACGGTGCTTAGAAACCAGGGCATCTCCACATGTGCACATGTGGAGATGCCCTGGTTTCTAAGCACCGTACGTGACAACGTGTACGAAACTTTTTCAAATTTTTACCATAGGCTCCACATGCTATATCACATGTGGAGATGTCTTGGTTTCTAAGCACCGTACGTGACAACGTGCACGAAACTTTTTCAAATTTTTACCATAGGCTCCACATGCTATATAATGATGCATCCACAAGTTTCATGATTTTCTGAATTTGTTTGAATTTTATACAATTCGAAAACACTTTGGCCGCAACTTTGTCCTCATGTTTCGTTAACAAGATGTGAAAAATATCCCGCAAGTTCCTGGATACGGCCTCAAAACACACTCACTAGCATGACAATCATTTTTCGAATGATTAGATTTCATTATTCAATGCACGTGCAGTTCAAACTTACTTTTTGCGAAATAAATCAACAAAACAAAAATAATTCTAAAAATATAGTAAAAAGTCACAAAATTCAACCAAATTTTAACATGTACTTTAAAGCACTGTAGCAACCCTAAAGAAAAAATCTGGGAGCAAAAATAATAAAAACAAAATTCTTTTGCCGAAAGTGCGGACACACTCACTCGGCAATGGGGTCTTTGCCGAAAAGCTAGAGACAGGCACTCTCGGCAAAGAAAATAAACAAAAAATTAAAAAAAATTAAAAAATTCTTTGCCGAGTGTCTTACGGCGACCACTCGGCAAAGCCTAACGGTGGGTGGCCGCCGTCACCTCGGTTAGCCTTTGCCGAGTGTTTAGCTTTGCCGAGAGCCCAACACTCGGCAAAGGGAGGCTTTGCCGAGTGCCTGACACTCGGTAAAGAAGGATATGCCGAGTGTTTGGATTTGCCGAGTGCGGCACTCGGCAAAGTCTATCTTTGCCGAGTGCCCGACATTTGGCACTCGGCAAAGTAGGAAACACTCGGCAAAGCCCCTGTTTCCCGTAGGGAGTGCAATTCTTCCCCGAGTGCAACACTCGGGGAAGATTCTCTTTCCCGAGTGACCGATGTTTGGCACTCGGGGAAGCCAACGACACTCGGGGAATTTTGCCTCTCCCGTAATGAAATATATTTGTTTGGAGCAAGTGAACCAAGAATAAGTTGCAAAAGCTCACTCCCGTGCCTCTAATCAAAATGCACTTCTGTTGGTAACTTCTCCTTTTACATCAAGTCATTATTTGCTCAAACTTTCATGAGGCTGCAGCCAGTAAGTAAAATGAAATACTGTCCTTCTACTGAAAAAAAAACATTGGGAAACTAAATATTTCTTTCTATCCTTTTATTTTTTGTTTGGTTGTTGTATCAAAGCAATATTTTCTTTTATATACCTCACTTTGCTTTTTCCATTGTATGGAGCGTATTTTGGAAGTTTAGTTTTGCTCACTCCTGTTATGCATATACTTCTATCAGCTAGCAATCTTTCCACTTTCATCATGTAAACTTTGCCCTTAATCATGAAGTTATGCTGATATTATGGTTAAAACACATAAGGAAAACTATCACCAAGCTCAGATACATATGAAAACCAAAGCTTTTTCATCCCCTGGCTACTGCCTACAGTAAGTCCTTCCAAGAAATGTTGGAGCTACAGGGTACACCTGCCATCATACTGCCATACCATATGTTTTCATGATCATCAGGTTTGAAACACATAGGACGATTAGAATTTGCATAATACGATCCTATGTTTGCATAAATCAGTTGCTTGAGATACATATAGCAGAACTTTGTTCTTTACTGTAAGATGGGACCAATTCAAGTGCCACATGCAGGACAAACATCAGCACAGCAAGAGAAAGGTTTCAGATTAAGGAACATGATGTTCCCCCCTTGTAAGCAGTCACAACATATTAACAGTAGGAATAGGAAATCCATTGCATTTTGGCATGCAGGAAGAAAGTATCGACATGCCGAATCATGTGTGGCTGTAAATATGGTTCAATTCAGCAGATTACATTTTTCATTTTTCATACCCAGAAATGTGTACTCCCAGGGTTGGTGACTTGATGCATCTAGATGCTCATATAGTACCACTGTTCTTGAGTTGGGTCGGTTTACTTATCTCTATCGCAGCCTCAATGTCCCCATCATTTTTTTATTTATTTTTTTTGCAAAATTTGGTGGCTGCTAATTCTGTCCAAAAGAGGTAGTCCAGATATGCATATGTTGGAAGAAAACTTACTCTATATCATATAGGTGAATCTAAAATAGCTTTCAGTTCCTCTTCTGAAAGAACTCCTCCTGTTACTCACATCAGAAAACCAAATCATATCATTCAAGCGATCTCAGCGATTGATAGTTCACAAATAGAAGAATGAATTAGTTGTTAATCATATCTTGAACGCCAATGAGGCCTAGTGTATAGTACAGACTATTCTAGCAGAGCATTGCATCGTATCAGCTTTTCATTTCAATCTCCATTGCCGCCGTCGTCTTGGAGGAAATAGCAGCCGCTGCCGTCTTCTTGGAGGAAATTGTCGCCGCTTCCCTCGCCAACAACGCTCGCCACGAAGGCGTTCCCGGCGGCATGGCCGTAGTCGGACTCGGAGACGAAGTAATTGCTGGGGCCCGGCTGCTCTGGTCCCGGAGTGAGGGCGGCCGCCGCCCTGGCGATAACGGCGTCCTCCTCCTGCAGCTGCTGCTCCCTCTTTCCCATCTTCTTGGCCCTCTCGGTGATCTTGATGCGCGCGACCACGGCGCCGGGGCGCAGCTCCGGGTGGACGACGTGGTACTCGTGCATGACCCACCCGCTGGACCTCCGGTCACCCTTCCTGTAGTACGACAGGTTGTACCGCCGGAACGTGACCGTCAGCTCGGGGCCGCGGGCGTCGCCGCGCACGATGACGAGCGCCTTGTCCTCGCCCTTCTGCCCGCGCCACACGCCGCCGACGCCGCCGGGCGCCGCGGCGCTGACGACGCGGCTGACGCGGCCGGCGTTCCGCGCCATGTCGCGCGGCGGAACGAAGAAGAAGGCCTGGTCGCTGCCGGCGTGGCCGTGGCGCCGCAGCAGCTCCCACGGCGGGCAGCTGTAGGGGTCGTCGTCGATGACGGCGTGCTCGTACGCGTTGGGCACGCCGGCGGCGCGCGGGAGGAGGTACTGCGCCACGATGTCCTCGTCCGTCGGGTCGAACTTGTTCGCCGGCGGCATGGACGCGCCGAAGCCGAACCGCCGCGCCTCCATTGCTCGCCGAGCTTCCCTTGATTTCTTGGCAGAATCGAATCCGGATCGCCCCTCTTGGTTTCTTGGTCGGAATCAGATCGATGACACTCTAGTTCTTGGTTTCTTGGTGGGTTCTGTCACCGCCTCTTTTTTTGGTTCTTGGTTGGATCGTGCCGGAATGGAAGCGCCGCCGCCGCACCCTCCCGTGCTGGTATATATAGCACTCGGCACTCGGAATTTCGGATGCAGGGGGAGGATTTTTTTTTTTTTTGTAACTTTCACTTTCGCTAGCTGTCATGTCAAATGATAACTTGATCTCCAAAGAAACACTTGAAAGTAGGCCAAATGATGCTTGTCTTTTCGTTTTTGTGCTAGATTAGGCACCCGTGGCACATTTGGCTGCGACAAATTTCGTGTTTCTGTTAGTTCTTTGGGCTTTTGAGTTAAATGCATCAGAGGTCCATAAATTTATCATTGTGTACCATTTCGATCCATAAACTCTGAAATTACATTTATAGATCACCTAACTTGTTAAATGGTGCACCGCAGGTCCATACTGCTTCATCAACGTTTTCTTGCTTATGTGGCATGCCAACGCGGCATTTTTTCGGCATCTAACCCCCTGCAGCCAGAAAGAATTGGCCTGTTTGATATAGAGCCAAGGGGGTGACCGACGCTCCCCAGTGCAACCCAGCCTGTTTGATTTGCTTGGCCCAGCTGGCGGCTCGGCTCCGCGTATGCAAAACGCACTCTCTCTCCTGCATCCGGGAGAACGCTCCTAGGGTTTGGTGGTGCGGTTGGTCTCGATTGGGGTCGATCTGCTTCGTCCCGTACCGGATCTACTTCTGCTTCCACTGTGACTCTTCTTCTTCTCCGTCTTGCGCTTCTTTCTGTCTCCGTCGACTCCCCGAGGTGAACCCCCCCCCCCCACACACACACCCTAATCCCATTTTCTTTCATTCTAGGGTTTTCTATTGCCCTATTTTGATTTCGATTTGTCTCTGTGGAATGATTGTTTGGGTACATAATGCTTGTGTGGTTGCTATGAATGTTGATTTCGAGCACCGAAACATTTATGCTACATTGTTGGTATTTTTCATATGGTCGATGATGAATCTGTCCACTGTATGCTGAAATGTTAATTCTTTCATTCTAGGGTTTTCTATTGCCCTATTTTGATTTCGATTTGTCCATGTGGAATGATTGTTTGGGTACATAATGCTTGTGTAGTTGCTATGAATGTTGATTTCGAGCACCGAAACATTTATGCTACATTGTTGGTATTTTTCATATGGTCGATGATGAATCTGTCCACTTTATGCTGAAATGTTAATTTTTTAATGGTCGATGATAATTCTATCCAATGCCCTGGAGGCATTCTTTTTATGCAGCCGTGCTGTTAGCTTTTGATATGAATGATTGTACTTTCATGTTGAGGTCATCTAGGGTCTACTACAGCTGAGTTGTATGTTTGAATGTTGAATGCATGTAGATGGATCAACTGCACAACATGAGATGATGGCCAGGTAAGTAGCTGCCATGGTCGTGGTTATGCTTTTATTTTTTTGTCACTGGACTGAGAAGAATTAGGGCTCAGCCGCTAGAGCCTGTTGCTAGGTCATTCGTGGGCCTCGTGGGCATTCGACGCGCTGGTGCGCCTCGTGTGGCGGCCGCGCGCGCTGGCCTGGGGCGTCCGGGCGCAGAGATCATGCGGCAGACCGCAGACATCCGTGGGCCCCCTACTGCTTCTTCCACGGCAACCTCGGCAGACATCAGGCGGCTTCGCGCTGCGGGCTTGAGCCGCAGGGTGGACGTCGCCGATCACTTCACGCCCATCGCGCGGCCGCAGTTCCGGGAATATAATGGATCCCCCTCTATGGTTCGTACTCATCTGGCCCATCAGGCGGCTTCACGAAGCACCCTGCTGGCGAAACGGACGGGGCTGTTCGCCAAGAACTACTGCTGACAGCTCCAACGCCAACCTGCTCCGGCTTCTCGGAACGCAAGGGGCTCATGCTGAAGGTGCTCGCGGGGTCGTCCCCGGCGGCGAGGACACCGTTCAGGTCGTTGGGATTTAGTGCCTCGATCTGGCCGACGACCCCGCCGTGCCGCGCCCAACCCCGCGGTTGCGCTAGCCGCGACGGCCGTCGTCCCCGTGTCCGGCCTCACCGCATGGCCCCGCCGAGAGTAGGCTCCCCCGGAGCAGGAGCAGACGCGATGGTCCTGCTCTCCTGCCCACCCTTCCCCGTCCCGACCCACGCCGCTGCGGGTGCCGACAGCGACCTTCTTGAGCTCGACGTCCTCTGGCGTTCCTCGCCGCGCTCCCAGAGGACGAGAGCAAGTAGGCACCCGACCTCGAATCCCACTGTTTCCACCAAGAACTCCACCTTCCTCTCCACGTCCTCCTGCGAATACAGCATCACCAGCGGCTCGGCAGCGAGCACAAGCAGGGCGTCATGACGGGTCAGCCCCAGCGCACAGGAACTCCACCTGCCGCCAGGCAGCAACGGCGGCGCTGAGCGCTCCATGGGTGAGGATCTCGTCCCTCACCGCCTCTCGACACCGGAGGTCGCGCGGAAGCTCGAGGAGGCGGGACGGCTCGCCGTGACCCGTGGTTCAAGAGGAGACCTTCCGGGTCAGACGCTTTGTTCGGCTGTAAGGGGTTATTAAATGAGAAAAATGTCATGTTGGTATGTCACCTAAGCAAGAAAATGCTGATGTAGCGGTGTGGATATGTGGTGCACCTTGTAAATGTATTTTCAGAGTTTATGGACCTAAGTGGTACACCATGACAAGTTCATGGACATTCGGTGCATTTAACTCTGGTTTTTTTCACAACTTCATTTCCAATGGTGTCAATGTGTCATGTAGTCTACATGGGATTCTAGTTCCCTTTGGTCGGGTCCTCATGTTCTTCTAAATCTTCCTTTCCTTTTAGCTTTCTTCCTTTTGTAATCTAATCTTGTTATTCAGATTATAACTTGTTGTTTTCAACGACTTTCGTTTTAGCATTTTTAAATTTCACATGAGTGTTTTTCTTTTGAATATTCTTATTTTCAGTTCTTTTAATTACACACTCTTCTTTATGTCTTGGTTACACCATGGTGGGCAAGATAGTCAATGGCAATCTTAGAAGGGATTTAGGGGGTGGCGAGTTTAGATAGAATTATCTTACTTGTTACTCCCTCCATCCCACAAAACATGTAAATCTCACTTTTCGTGGCTAGATTAATGAAAGTGTAAAATTACGTATGTGCCTCTTGTGTACCCTTGTCCCCACGCACAGGATTCAAAACATAAAAGCAATCATCGTATCAGTGTTGGTCGGATGGATGGATAGGGGTCGTGTGTTATGGTGATTTTTTAATTGCATGTGGTGGCTTTTTTATTGGTGGGTCCCATCAAAAAGTTGTTCTACACCCTATAGTTACGTTAATTTTGAGACAAAATTTAACCGCACACGTTTTTTTTTTTTTGAACTGAGGGAGTACTAACAAGTTTTGAGTACTAGAAAGCATAGAAGGTGAGTCGTAGCTTGGATCGGGGTATCATGTTTCTGTAACACCCTAAATTTTGCATATTTTTGAAAAAGGAGAAAAGTGATTAATTTTGCATTTTGTGGGAATTTGAACTTAGGAAATAATATTTTTTTTATGAAATTAAAAAAATAAATACAAGGATAGAAACATGTTGATGCATTCATGCTGTTGCATATTTATTTCTGTGATGGGTGGTTTTGTTTCAAATGCTAAAAGATTTTAAAAACCTTTTGAAAATGAGATTGGAAAATTTTATTTATAAAAAGAAAAAAAGGAAATTTCCTTCCATTCCCTCCCTTCCTCTGTTTCGACTGCAGTTTCTTCCGCATGTCCGTTCACCCTCCTCTCCCTTCCCTTCAGCCCAAATTGTCTGCTCTCTTCCGCCCAAGAAGAATGCTACTTCCTGGTCAAATTTCCCAAAGAATCAGCTTCGCCCAAGCCTGCTTACACCTCGCCCAGTAACCGCCACGCCCAGCCTTTCCCGCTGGCCCCGCCTGGCCCGCTTTGTCGGCGCCGTCTTCACCTCAAGCCTCCTCGCCCGCCAGCCCGGCCAGATGTCGCAACCGCCGCCCCACTCCATGTCGTGGGGCGTGCCCCCCCTGGCCGGCCTTGAATCGGCACCGAGCCGTCTCCGCCCCTCCCCGCTGCCCCCGCTCTCATTTTCGCTTTGCCGAGCACCGAGGAAGGCCGCAACTGTCGCCTGAGGTCTCCGAGTCGTCGACCGCCCCTCCGCATGACACCTCCTCCGAGCCGCCTCCGTCCTTTTTTTTCCTTGGTGAGCTTCGCCCCTCCCCTCTATCTCCCAGTATCTCTTTTTCTCGTTTTGTTGGCTTCCCGAGCCTTGGCCATGAGCTCAGTGGGCCATGGTCGCTGGACATGGCGGCCACCGCTTCCCCGCTTCCGGCCGCCAGCGGCATGGCCACGACCCGCTTCTTCCCCGAGCTCACGGGTGCCCTCGGTGGTCAATTTGGTGAACCGTGAGGCCCTAATCCATGTGATCGAAGTCCTTCGCACACCACGGCCATGGCGCTGGCGCACGGTGTTCGTTTCGCCGGGCGGTGACCCCTCAGGCCGATCCTAGCCACCCATCGCGAGATCAACGGCCGAAATAGAAGATACCCTTCATGGGTGATTTTGCATAAGAGCCCTGGACTTTTCTAAGTCTTAACCCGCAGCCCAAAACGTATTTCCTCGAATGCGCGATTAGAAAGCGTAAACTCCACGGCTTAAGTCAAAAGTACGCTTTCGATTTACGAAAATGCCATTTGAACTGCTTTCGCTTATAAAATTGTCGCTTTAGCTCCGAATTGATCCATTCAAATCGCGTTAGCTTCGTAATTTCATAAGCTACATGTTGGAGCTACTGTTAGTCAAGTTTGGAACTTTTTAAATTCATGATTAGATTTAACTAAATATAGGGCTATAGGAAACCCGCTTTAATCATAACTTTAGCATTTTAGCTCCGTTTTTCGTGAACTTCGCGTTGACGTGATCGTAGCGAAACGTAGATTAGTTTTACAGACATTTTATCTTGATTTCAATACTGTTGGTGTACTGTTCTAATGATAGGAATGTTTGCTTTGCATGAATGCTTTTGGAATGTTGTATGTTGCCGTGTTGGTCGTGTTCAGACGGTGAGGAAAACGTTGGAGACCAAGAACTCTTCGACGACCAACAGACCAAAGACGAGTTTGTGAACCAAGGCAAGTATAACATGGGCCTTCCTTGATGTCCTATTTTACTTTAATCAATTACTCATTTGCATGTGTCTAATTTTGATACCCGTAAGGACATCCTAGTGATTGTTATCCTGTTCCTTGTCTCCTATGGGTTAAATGCATATGGGTAGATTGCTAGTGCTCTAACTGAACTTGATATACATGTTGATGAATAATACTATGGAACAAAGTGAGTAACATGATTTATAACAAACTGCTCCATAGGGCGAAAGTGCAAATGACCTTTGTTCATGTTGCTCCCTGCCCTCCATAAGGACTTATCTGCATTCAAAAAGCCGGGACCGACAATTAACCCGGGAGAGTCATATGGCTCGACTTTAGCTCAATAATAGGACCTTTTCTAGCTTGTTAGAGGTTACCTTTATGGCGCAAATGGGGCTTGCCACGTTGGGTATAGGACTGCCTCTGTTCCTATGTGTATAGCCGCGATGGATATGTGCCATAGGAAAGGGGGTTCTTACATCTGCCGCCAAGGAAACCTAGCGGCCCTAACTTGTTAGGGAAACCTATGAAATGGCTTCATAGTGTACCCTGCCCGCTTGGAAGTGACATGGGAGTAATTAACCCGGGCATATGGGGATCACGACTCATGGTGAATGTGCACCACCTCTCTAACAAATCTGTTATAACAAACCGTGCTTACTTGTTAACAAATGCCCCGAAAACTCACTGAATAACCGGTTACTTGTTGATGATAATTTAAAGTTGTTCAATGATGATATATGGTACACTTGACCCGATATATGTTCTTATGGGAATTAAAGGAGCTTAAGCATAACTTGATAATACTTGAGAATAAAAGCTTGACCTATTAAAAATGCTAATTGCGATGAACCGGAGTCTATCCTTTTTGAGCTTCATAACCCCATGTTATCTTGCTAAGTACGGGAATGTACTTACACTTGTTTATTTTCTTTACTTGGATAAAAATCCCGATGGGTAACAAGATGACAACGGATATAAGGAGTTTCCGAGAGGATTATTAGGCTTGTGGTCAACCACGAGACCGTCCTGTGATGGAGTTCAACAGAGAGTTATCTTTTTATCTTCCGCTGTGTTATGTAAGTCAATGTGATGCTATTATTCGTTATGTAAGATACACCGTGATGATACTTTTTATAATTTGTCAACTTATGTGTGTGACTGATCCCTGGGCACACATGAGTTTAGTGCATTCAATTTTATCCTTAAAATTGGGTGTGACAAATTGGTATCAAAGCAGTGTTGACTGTAGGACGCAAGCCTAGTTAGAAACTGGTCGTTTTAAGGTTTAGATGTTGCTACAAAAATCCTTGTACTTTGAATCTTGATATTTTCTTCTCTACTATATATTTACCCTTGCTATTCATCTCTACCTTGGTGCTTATTTTGAAGTCTTTGTTCTCATCTTCACTCCTTGATTTGATATGCTTTTAGAACTACTCCTCACCACCTTCTTACGTTCTCTAAATATAAGTCTTAGGATTGTTATCCCTAGAGCAATGAGAACGATAGTATCGCAAAATGAGTTAATGATTGAATTGTGCATTTTTATTGTTTGTTGAGTTGTCATTATGCTTATGGTCATTTTGAATCTTTGTAATGATTGCAATGATCTTGTTGGGTGTTCCCACAATTTCAGATAGTAATAGGCCTAAGGCATAAGGATTAATGAAATAAATAGTCGGGTCTTGGTTTTCGTTTGTTTTTCCTATCCTATCTTTTTGGAGCAGTCTGCACTCTTCGGCTTATATCTCTGATTTTGGATGATCAAAAATCGTGGGCAAATTCTGGACACTAGTACACTTCAATATCTTTCTCTGAGCGCAAGAATCAACTTGATAGCTATGTTGGTTATGGAGATACGAGAATCACAAGGTGATGCATCTGTGCTGTTTAGAATCTAGAGTAGTTTGTGTTGTGTACTGTTTTCGACCAAGTTAACTGCAAAAATTTGAAAAAGTGTTCTATAAAGAAGTAGATGTAAGCTATACTTTGGTGTTCCCTAGTCTATCTTTTCTTAAGGGGGGTAGCCAAGTTAAAGAATTTACAAGATGAAGGATCATACGTTCTTGTTTGCGCAGCGGAAGCGTGGTGGTACCCAAAGATGTGAGAGAAACTCAGAGTCTCAATGAGGTTTGGTTAAATGTTCAACAAAGGTTTATCCAAGATCATTAAGATTTTGGTAGAGCTACTGGAGAAGCTTTTAAGTTAGTTTGGATCAAGAATCTACAGGACATCTTCACTAAGTTGGTCTTGAGTTGGTGATATCCTCGTTGGAATGAAAATTGATTATGACTTGGAAAAGTGCTATCACTTGGAGAAGCAAAAGTCATGACCGATGCCCTTAGCAATGGGGAGTTGTGCTAAGAAGGTTCGGGTGACACCAAGGATCAAGAATTGTATTCCAAGTTCGAGCAACTTAACCGGAATCATTCATGTTTTGAAGATTGGTGGAAGAATTTCCTTCTGATCAATAAAGTAAGGAATTTTCATCGGAAGGTGGGTATTTTAAGAAAAAGAATTGGTATTGTGGACTCAAAAGGAAAGGTGGCCTAGTGATTGGAGTTACCTGAGTATCGTTTGGAGTAAGATCAACAGATATGCAAGGTAAAGTGGGATCCTAATTAAGACGATGGGACTACACGAGGAAGTAAAGGAGAATCTAAAGACGGAGTATCCCTATCTCTCAGTCGACGTCATCCGAATCTCGAGGACGAGATTCATCTTAAGGGGGGTAGAATTGTAACACCCTAAATTTTGCATATTTTTGAAAAAGGAGAAAAGTGATTAATTTTGAATTTTGTGGGTATTTGAACTTAGGAAATAATATTTTTTTTATGAAATTAAAAAAATAAATACAAGGATAGAAACATGTTGATGCATTCATGCTGTTGCATATTTATTTCTGTGATGGGTGGTTTTGTTTCAAATGCTAAAAGATTTTAAAACCTTTTGAAAATGAGATTGGAAAATTTTATTTATAAAAAAAAAAAAGAAATTTCCTTCCATTCCTCCTTCCTCGGTTTCTTTCTGCAGGCCCTTTCTTCTCATGTCTGCTTCACCCCTCCTCTCCCTTCCCCTTTCAGCCCCATTACGCTCTCGGCCCAAGGCGTCCTTCAAAGAAGCAGTCGCGCAACTGCCCTGTACGCCCACCATGCCCACCATTACCGACCGCCTGCCCGCTTGTCGGCGCCTGTCTTCACCCAAGGCCTCGAAACCGCCCGGCCAGGCCAAGCATGTCATAACCGCCCCCACTCCATGTCGTGGGAGCGTGCACCCTCGCGCCCGGCCGCTTTAATCGGCACCGAGCCGTCGCCTCCTCCGCTGCCCCCCGCTCTCATTTTCGCTTGCCGAGCACCGAGGAAGGCCGCAACTGTCGCCCGAGGTCTCTCCGAGCTCCGTCGACCGCCTCCACACAGACGACCTCCTCCGAGCCGCCTCTGTCTCCTTTTTCCCCTTGGTGAGCTTCACGTCGTCTCCCTCTATCTCCCGTATCTCTTTTTCTCGTTTTGTTGGCTTCCCAGCCTTGGCATGCTGAAGTCAGTGGGCCATGGTCACCGCCATGGTGGCCACCGCTTTTTCCGGCCACCAGCGGCATGGCGGCGCGATTTCGCTTCTTCCCCGAGCTCACAGGGCCCTTGGTCAATTTGGTGAACCGTAGGCCCTAATCTATAACTTGGGTGTTACTATTCCCGGCCAATTTCTCACCCCCTAGATCCTAGCATTTCGCGAGATCAACGGCCGAGAATAGAAGATACCCTTCATGGGTGATTTTGCATAAGAGCCCTGGACTTTTCTAAGTCTTAACCCGCAGCCCAAAACGTATTTCCTCGAATGCGCAATCTCGATTAGAAAGCGTAAACTCCACGGCTTAAGTCAAAAGTACGCTTTCAGTATTTACGTAAATGCCATTTGAACTGCTTTCTTATAAAATTGTCGTTTTAGCTCAATTGATCCATTCAAATCGCGTTAGCTTCGTAATTTCATAAGCTACATGTTGGAGCTACTGTTAGTCAAGTTTGGAACTTTTTAAATTCATGATTAGATTTAACTAAATATAGGGCTATAGGAAAACCCGCTTTAATCATAACTTTAGCATTTTAGCTCCGTTGTGAACTTCGCTTGGCGTGACGTGATCGTGGCGAAAACGTAGATTAGTTTTACAGACATTTTATCTTGATTTCAATACTGTTGGTGTACTGTTCTAATGATAGGAATGTTTGCTTTGCATGAATGCTTTTGGAATGTTGTATGTTGCCGTGTTGGTCGTGTTCGATAGGAAAAACGTTGGAGACCAAGAACTCTTCGACGACCAACAGGACCAAAGCACGTTTTGTGAACCAAGGCAAGTATAACATGGGCCTTCCTTGATGTCCTATTTCACTTTAATCAATTACTCATTTGCATGTGTCTAATTTTGATACCCGTAAGGACATCCTAGTGATTGTTATCCTGCTCCTTGTCTCCTATGGGTTAAATGCATATGGGTAGATTGCTAGTGCTCTAAATATACATGTTGATGAATAATACTATGGAACAAAGTGAGTAACATGATTTATAACAACTGCTCCATAGGCTAAAGTGCAAATGACCTTTGTTCATGTTGCTCCTGCCCTCCATAAGGACTTATCTGTCGGCAAAAGCTGGGGTCGATAAAGGTAACCAGAGTCATATGGCTCGACTTTAGCTCAGTAATAGGACCTTTTCTAGCTTGTTAGAGGTTACCTTTATGGCGCATAAATGGGGCTTGCCACGTTGGGTATAGGACTGCCTCTCTCCCTATGTGTATAGCAGCGATGGATATGTGCCATAGGAAAGGGGGTTCCTACATCTGCACGCCAAGGAAACCTAGCGGCCCTAACTTGTTAGGGAAACCTATGAAATGGCTTCATAGTACCCCCTGCCCGCTCACCTTGGAAGTGACATGTGAGTAATTAACCCGGGCATATGGGGATCACGACTCATGTGAATGTGCACCACCTACTGCAGAGGGTAACAAATCATTATAATTTGCTCACGGTTCTGTTGACCCGCTCACAGTAATAACTGTTACTTGTTGATGATAATTTAAAGTTGTTCAATGATGATATATGGTACACTTGACCTCGATATATGTTCTTATGGGAATTAAATAGGAGCTTAAGCATAACTTGATAATACTTGAGAATAAAAGCTTGACCTATTAAAAATGCTAATTGCAGTAAACCAGAGTCTATCCTTTTTGAGCTTCATAACCCCATGTTATCTTGCTAAGTACGGAATGTACTTACACTTGTTTATTTTCTTTATTTGGATAAAAATCCCGGATGGGTAACAGATGACAACGGATATAAGGAGTTTCTTGAGGATTATTAGGCTTGTGGTCAACCAGTCGACCGTCCCTGTGATGGAGTTCCACGAGAGAGTTATCTTTTTATCTTCCGCTGTGTTATGTAAGTCAATGTGATGCTATTATTCGTTATGTAAGATACACCGTGATGATACTTTTTATAATTTGTCAACTTATGTGTGTGACTGATCCCTGGACACACATGAGTTTAGTGCATTCAATTTTATCCTTAAAATTGGGTGTGACAGTTTCCCAATTCATTTTATCTGTAATTTGTAGCATAGTACCATATGTTAGTAGATAAATGCTGTGTGATTCTTAATTTGAGGTAAAGGGACTATGGACGCGTTTGGTTGGTGTCCTAATAGCAGTGGAGGAGCCAGGGCAGGGGCCATAGCGCCCCCCCCCTAACAAATCACACCAAAATAATTATAAGTATGACTTTATAATTTCTATTTATATTAAAAGAGTGAATATAACAAAATTCTTATCATATATACTTATTAATGTCTTCTAGATACTAAAATCATACAAAGCATAACTATATAATAAATTAAAATCACCCATATGAACACATCGAAAAGACACTAGATAATAGAATAGTCCTATAAGCACATCCGAAAGACTAGGCCACTAGATCTCGAGATTTATTAAATCATCGTAGATCCTTGCTTCAACGGAAATGTCGTCTACCACCGAACGAATAGCGTCTTAAATCCTAGAATACATATAAAAGAAAAATGCAAGCTCCCATGTTAAGTTGATGAATTAACTCAGATGGTCACCGCCAGAAACCTAACCAGTTGAGTTGTGCTCGATTTTTACAAGTTGGATCTTTGTAGCTGCCCCCGCTCCGCCACTGCTAATAGGTAGCTCACTCGCCAGACATGGATCTTAGCCACCAGATGACCAAAATGGTGTCTTTAGCATTCGGATCCTAGCCTCCACAACCCAGTAGTTCCTGCTTCCTTGGGTATATTGATTTTTTTTTCCAAACACACAGGAGAGCTACATATCATTCTATTAAGATAAAAAGAGATACATAAGCCGAATTTGAACCTAGACTCGAGGTTGTTTATCATAGGTACGATCAAGGTGAGAGAAATGTTGTCTTAAGCATTCGTAGTGAAGATCTGGTATCAAAATGCGATAAGTTCTTGGATGATTGATACCGTAGAAAATTGTCAATGTTATTCTCTCAAACAGTATAAGGCTGTATATCAAAGAAACGGGCGCCCTAACCAGTTGCAGAGTGACAGCCGCCTAAGCTGTATGATTTGGCTGTGCATTCACGGCTAGGCACAGGTTAACGAATAAACACTAAACATTTAACAAACCAGAGCATTGCAATATGAGCTGAAAGGATTCCAAATCGTGATAGTTGCTGGAAGAACAATAGATTGAAGCAAGTCCAAGAATTTCCAAACCGGCTTCAAACAATTAAGGAGACCTATGGCAATAAATATAAGAAATCTCTTCGTCATAATATGCTTACACAAAATTCATTTCCTACCTGCAACTGTTGCTAGAAAATTCAAAGGACAAAAATATGTGATGCTACAGCCCTTTTGGGGAAAGCCAAAAAAACAGGTCCTTTGGATACAGATTATTGTTATTTTTCTCCCTATAATGATACAACAGTGATGGATAATGTGTCTCCCTTTCTTCACACTATCTTCTCCCATCACATTTCTTTTATCTCCGATCTGAAGAAAGAAAGCCATATGGATACTTCTGAGCAAAACTGATGGCATCAAGATGCCGACAATGCTGACAGGTTAAAGGCGGCGTAGTGACTTGATAAACAAATCTGAGGATCACTTCCAGTTTCCGCTAGTTGCCAACTTGCCATTATGCGATGTACTGATGTGCCAGATTCTCAACCGGCAATTTTGCTGCACTAGCTCAGTTGCTTCTATTTACCAGCTGAAAGCATCTTCTGGAGTTCAATCACCTGTTGCTGTTGCTCTGGTGGCAACGAACTCAACTGCTCAGGTGTCAGCTGCAAGACTTGCTGCAGAAGAGCTGACTCGACATCAGGCGTAAGCTGCAGATAAGACACAAGAACATATTTCAGTGCAAGGAAATTACAATGCTTCTTCAGAAACTTTGCACAATGATTCTATTCAACTCCATAGAATGAGCAAACGTTTAGACTGGTTAAGAATCTCCAAAGTTACCAATCTCCCACATTGGAAACTCGAACCTAAACAGGTTGAACATAACAAACCCTGAGAAATCTGTTATAAATGGTTTGTACCTGCCCTTCATTCCCTGGCTGCTGTAAGCTAACTACACCAGCACCATAGCCCCCTGATGGTCCACTAGGGCCCACTGCTTGCAGTGGAGCTGTATAAACAGCATGGCTGCTGTTCACAATTCCAGGTACCGAGGTTCCATCCTCCAATTTTCTCAATTTTGAAGGATGGGTAAACTCTGTCAAATGACTTGCTTGATCAGCAACCCTTATTTCATTTGGTAGAGTCTCAGTTGCAGCAGCTACCTGCAATTGGACATTGTTGAGTTAGCCTATGTGACTGGTAAGATAAAATGGACAATTCAGTTAATCTGTGGCCATTAGTGCATTGCCAATACATAGCAAGATGACTCATCATGAACATTGATTTTGATACATAAACTAAGACACCACTAGCGAATTACATAAGCTCCTTCACCAGTCAAGAAAACTACCTGAGCTAGATGAGGGTGGGTCAAAGGTAGCTGTTGTACACTTGTAGGCATGACAGGTGGTCCCGGGTGCTGTGGCACAAATGGAGGCTGAACTTGAGAGATTAAGCCTACTGAGGCCACAAGAGATTGAGTAGGAACACTGGAAGAACCACCAAGGGGCTGATGTAGCATTGGAGATTGTGCGGCGATCCCAGACTGTTGTCCATGTGGAAACATTTTGACTTGGGGCTGAGATGCATGTTGATGCTGAGGAAAACTATGTCGTGTTGCTGTTTGTTCCGGTAGGATAGTTGGGTTTGGTGGTATGTTAGTTGGCAAACTTGATGGCCTTGAGACTACTGGAATCATAGGATCTGGCTGTGGATATGGCTCATTGAGGTGAGATGAAGATTGTGCTAAGGAGCCCAACGGCTGTTGGCTCTTTGCCATCTGCATCTGCAATTTGTATAGAACATACATTCATTATATCAAAACAGAAAAAACAAAGGGTGCTTAAAGCTCAAAGACAAATAAGAACTAACCATCTGTGGTGTTACCATTCCAAGCATTATTTGTGCCTGCATTACAACAAGGCAAAAATTTAAGCAATGAGTTTCTAATTTTTCATTCTTATATGATAGAGAACGGCTTAATGATATGCTTTTCCCAAATAAAGAAACAAGCTTATTTCATTGCATACACAAAATTAAATAAAGAAATAGGGAGTCAAGTCTCAACTTTTTTTAACAGTTGAGCCACAAATAAACAAGCCAATTTTTTCTTACGTCAGAACATGCACATAAACCAAACTATTCAGTGTTTAATAAGATCAAGGAGTATAACTTCTTCTTCCACCCAGGACCACAAGACAATCATGAATGATATCAAAGTTCTATGGACAATCCTAAAAGGAAAAGTGGAAACATGAACAACAAAAATTCAATATCGATATAGTAGCACCGAATCACGTGAGGTTATTAAAATAAAATAAATGGAAGTAAATAGATTCAGTAAACAGTTGAAATTTTATCCAAATAAAATGTAGAGACTTTACAACCTACACAAGGCTAAAATAAAAAGTCTGAATCAAGTATGAAATGACATTAAGAATACACACTTGACAAGTACAATCACTATTAGCAAAAAACTAACCTGAAATAGGGCCTTTGGCAGCTGTGGAATTCCTTGCAGCAAAGTTTTGGAATGTTCCTTATTTTGAGTAGTTAGGAACTGTGATTTTTTTTTATAAAAAAAAAGACACAAGAAACTAAAATCAGCACTTGTTCATTTGTAAATGTCAAGTAATTGAAGTGCATAAAAGACTACGAGTTAACCTTCAATTCAGCCATGATTTCATGCAACTGATGCCTTGACATTCTGGCCAAATAATGAGTAAGAGGGTCATTTCCAAGTCCATACTGGACAGGTAAACCGTTTTGAACATTTGCAGTCTGAGCTCCACCAAGGACACCAGCCATCACAGATGCAGCATGTATCGCCGGTGGGAGACCAACAGGCTGATGAAGGTTTGTCTCTCCAACAACAGAAGTCCCAGCTAACTGTTTCTGACTATCTGTACCAGTCCATCAAGAAATCAGTGTAAGCATCCATGAACATAAAATATGCATAGAAATTGAAAGCATATAGATGAACTTTTTTTTCTCGAAAAATATATACATAAACTAAATGGTGCACAAAAAAAAAGGAAACCAACCAACATTAGATGCCATCCCTGGTCCTCCACGACCCTGCAATGCATAAATGTATCCAGCATAAGTCAACAAGTTGTTCTAATTTAAGCTAAATCAACTTCAGTTAATTGAGATGTTCTATATTTTTCATTGATATAATGAACACGCGCCAACTCCATCTCCACAGTGAAGCTACTTATAATTTCCAAAAGGCAAAGTTCACAAATAGATATAGATTCTTCTGTGTAAAGTAACATCATGCTAGATCATTTCACATGTCTCGAAGATAATTCAAGAAAAACATGTCTCGAAGATAAGTTAGTATAAAAAACTGTGTACTTATATAGATCAACTGCATCTAGTTGACAACTTGTGAGTAGTCAGTATCTGTTATGTAAACTCGATAACATTTTGGCAACAAACTGGCACATATGTATCAGCATCAGACACTCTCATTGTATACAAAGCCTGATGGCAGAAGCTACATATAAAGGCCGATTGGATATTAACACAACAGCGAAAGAAAACTGCGAGTCCTTATGCACATATACAAAGGCTGATTGGATATATACTATTTTTCAGCAATCAATTTACCAACAGTGGCAATCCTTTGCTGGCGCATAAACAAAGACCGATTATACATCTTCCATAAGACTATAGCACTTCTTTTTCTATTTGAAGAAAGTAAATCTCATATTCAGCAGTCAGCAAACTTCTGAAGAGGCTCTTTCAACCATAACATATACTATATTAAGCCAATAGCTTTGGCAGACTATAATCCAACTTCTTTGGCACGCTACTTCCATGAAGGGGAAAGGTCAAGATAACATTGCATTTTTTTTTCCAACAGCAAAGCATTGGCACCACACCAGAACAATATAATTCAATGAAGGATTGGACGGTATAGCAAGTGTGTGTATGTACAGTCCAGCAGCTGTACATACACAAACATGCTTGTAAGAGATTGAAACAGGAGACACAGGGTGGTTGGACAAGGCACAACTATTATCATTCACAAGAACAAAGACTATACAACTTCTCATATTAACAGAGAACTCCAAAGGTGGTAGGAAAGGCTCTTCTAAAGTAAAAATTTGAGGATCGTCGACCTTTTCTCTATTTCTGTCAGTGTTCCTCCCATTTTCAGCAAAATCAACACGTAACTGACGACCATTAATCTCGTAACCCTGAAGGTTCCGGCGTGCACTTAGAGCAGTTTCCTCATCCTTGTACTCGCAAAAGCCATAGCCTTTTGGCTTGCCAGTCTCTTTGTCAATCACCAATCTGCAAGCAATTTGTAGCAGTCAGTTACCAAAAAGGCTACAGCTCAACAGCATTTCATCAAATTCACAAGTTGAAAAACTTAACAGGAGTAGTAAACAAGTTACTCAGTGTTACCAAACCAAAATCAGTTTCAGCAAATATTCACTTAGGAGGAATCTGATCAAGAAAAGGCACATGTGTATATGATTCAACATCAGTCTACACTCAAAAGTCAAAATATCTCCTGTAATCATCTTTATAAGAAAATTGTGGTTTTATAGTATGCCAGGCATGCCCAGGAATCTGATCAAGAAAAGGCACATGTGTATATGATTCAACATCAGTCTACACTCAAAAGTCAAAATATCTCCTGTAATCATCTTTATAAGAAAATTGTGGTTTTATAGTATGCCAGGCATGCCCAGCGGAACTTGGTAAGTTCCATATTACTAAATTTGTTTCTAGATCAGTGTTCTATATTGTTAGGATTCCAAAAGGTAAATGCTTGAGTCATAAGGAGGCCCCCTGCATCAGGGAGAGATCAGAGATGTAACCTTTGAAAGCAAAGCAAGCTAATGAGAGAGCATCTACTATTCTAGTCCACCCTGTTCAGCTCAGCATTCAGTCCGTTTCAAAGAACACAACATATAAAGCTTTCCTCTGCCATGTTTGCTCAAAAATACATGCTGCACAACATAAATTAGCCATCAAACTTGTGTAATTGATTTAATATTGAGTTAGTATCCTGACTGGGGTCAGGCAACATTTTTCTTTTTTCCATTTGTAGCTGTAATGCCAAAACCTGAACATATTCCTTGTTTTTAATAAACAGAATAAATAAGGCAAAACACAAGTTTTGACAGCAAGTGTTAGTTTCTACAACCCATCAGGTACGCATATTCAAAATCAAGTATTGTTGCATAAGTATTTGGAGTAAAACCAATGGTTTTACATGCTAGCGCCGCACAACAGCATTACAGTGTTGATGCGGAGTGAGTAGAAGCACACCTGAAGGATACGACTGGGCCGACTTCTTCGCAAATCTGCACAAGCTGCTCCTCCGTCGCATCATACGGTATGTTGCCAACTGCAATTGAGATTGACAAATACAACTATCAGTCCCTAAATCCCCTGCTTATCATCTCCACATCCGGAAACAACAAGAAGACCCAATAAAAAAGAAACATCTTGCGCGCCCAATGAAGCATTAGTGCGGTAAACCTAAACCCTAGGCAAGCTAAAGGTCGACCCGAACGGAACTGAGCTCCCAATCCAACACCACTAGAGCCGACCAAGAGGGGCTCCCATTCTCCAGGACAGCATCGACTAGAGAAGGGGAGGGAGGGGTGAAAATCAGCGCCAAATCGGAAGAACTCGGCGGCAGTCGGTCGGACACAAATTAACCCGAACTGAAAAGCGGCTCCTCCCCTGGGTGACACCAGCGGCCACGCCAGGCGGCGCCCCCCTCCCGAATCGAACCGAGCTTCCGGATCACGCCGGTCAGGGGAAGGTAAGGTAACCGAGGGTGGCGCGGGGGGGGCGTACCGAAGACGCAGCGGTTCTGGGCGCCCGCGGGAGCGGCTGCCATGCTCAGCGTCAGCGGCGGCGGCGGTCGGCGGCGGCGCGGGGCGGCGCGGCATCCGCCGCTGGCCGGCGCGGGGCGCCCGGCCGGCTGCTTGGCTGCTTCCGCGTGGCCGGGTGGATATGCCTCCTCGCTCGCGGGCCGCGCGGCTGTGGCGCCCGTTTATTAATAGGGAACAGGGGAGACCGGGCGGGAGAGAGCTGCTGTGCTGTGCTGTCTCCGACCGGAAATCAGATCACCTGACGTCGCCCTCCGTGACTGCTCCCAGCAGTCGATGCATATCTGCCGTTCACTGCAATCCAAGGGAGCAGCTGAGCTCAGGCCTTGCACCTCCTTCGCACGCTGCGTAGGCCCAACAACGCGGACGTTTCCCTCGCCGAGCCCAGGCGCGGCACCTCTTCCGCGCGAGGGAGCCGTGAGGACCGAGACGGCGATCATCAGCTGTTGAGCTGCTCGTGCTCAGTTGCCGTTGCTCGTGCTACAGCTAAAGCCTGAATTTTTTATTTTTGAAGATCGTGTACTCCTCTGAACCCTGAACTTTTGAAGCTACAGCTGTTGCACCTGGCATGTAGCAGCGTCGCCCCTTTGCGTGCTGTGCAGTGGAAACTGGCAGACGGCGGCGCAGGACCAGCCGCAGCACCTTGCGACGCCCATTGGTGACCTTCCGTGACCTTGCTGTGCAGTCCTCGCTCGCATAGCTCGACACATCAGGAACCATCCACGCAGGGAGCGTCGGCAGCAACAACGGCGGTGCGGCCAACTCGAGTTAGGCGGCGGCGGCGCGGTGTTCTTGGGCAGTTTACTGTCCTCGTGGGCTTAGATGGACTGCTAGGCTTAGACGACCTGCTGCGAAGGGAACGAGCTGGACGCTTCGATGCTGGCGGACGGCGTGGATTGAGCGACTGCCGGGAGCAGTCGTGGAGAGCGACGTCAGGTGATCTGATTCCCGGTCTCGGTGGGTGTCCGTCGCTTCCCTTCTTCGGACCGGAGGCGGCGGCTTTGCTCTGCTCTGCTCAGCATTTTCCAGCCGCCGTTTCTCTTTTCCGGCCGGGATTTATTGCGCTTTGATTGGCCAAGGGATTCTCGTTCTGCATGCGTTTCTTCGCTCTCGACCCTGCTACTCGAATTCACCGCTCCGATTTCTCCTTTTGCCCCACGCTGCTGGCGTTCCAATAGGAGCACGTGCGCCTGCCTGACTGACAACCGGATTGTTGAGTTTCAATTGGCAGTTATTCTATGTCAGGCTCGTCTGGCCTGGTTTAGCTTATAAGTCATGATTGAAAGTATTATTAATTGGTTTGGTATGAGAGAAAAATACTATTCGTTGGCGGATAAGTCATGGCTTATAAGCCAAATACGACCAAGCGAACATGCCGCTAATTTCTAAGGCTTGGTTCGGTTACATGAGCTGTCCGCACTGTTCCTTCATTAAATTACATAAAGTTAGATTGATTCCTGACCATTCCACACCGGGAACGGTCTAATCAGCTCCCCCGTTCCAACTCCCCTAAAGCTGTCTTCAACTAGAGACTCATTACGAAACACAAATCTAAATTGGGTCTCCAACATAATACCTATAACATCCGCCATAGTATCTATATGGAAGACCCATTTTAGGTGTCGGGAGAGACATAACCTAAATCTGAGTATCCTCTCTCCTGAAGACCCATTTGCAGAAAGGGTTATCTTTTGGGTCTTATCGTTGGAGAAGATCAAAAATAGGTATTAAACCATTTGTCTATAACGCTACCCAAAAGATGAATGAATCTTATATTTTGGGTCGTGGTTGTTGGAGACAGTCTAATAAATTGATAATGGGGTAGCCCAATACTATTTTTCAGATTACTGTGGGAGATAGTGTAGCAGATCACCAATAATCTCCCCCAGTAGATGGGACCCACCTGTTAGATTGCAATTTTTTATTATTTTTTCTTTTCTTTTCCCTACTTGTGACTATCGTGACATGGATACTCATCTTCTTCCCCTCCCCTGCCCCGCTCAATTGGAAGGAAGGAGCACTGGATGAAACAAATTCGGTGCTGTGGCAGAGGAGATCCACGGCGGCAGAGGAAATCCGGCGGCTGCCGGCCGAGGTGAACTGGGAGATGCTTGACAAGTCGCGGTTCTTCGTCCTCGGCGCGGCGCTCTTCTCGGGCGTGTCCGCGGCGCTGTACCCAGCCGTGGTGGTCAAGACGCACCTGCAGGTGGCGCCGCTGCCGTAGGCGGCCACGGCGACGGTGGCCGCCATCCTCCGGTGGGACTGCCAGCGTGGGTTCTACCCCGGGTTCGACGCGTCGCTGGCTGGCATGGTGCCCGTGCGTGCTCTACATGGCGGCACTCGAGGCCACCAAGAGCTCCGTGGGCTCCGCCGCCGTCCGGCTGGGCGTCTCCGAGCCCGCCACGTCGACCGCCACCATGGCAGAGAGAGAGGCGAGAGGGAGGAGAGTGACAGTTATGGTGGGCCTCAGCTATTGGGGGAGATGCAAACACCCCGCCCCCCCTTCTATTTGAGGGGAGACGGTGTGTTTTTCGGTGGCCACAAAAAAAGAGTTATTGGAAGACTGTTAGAGAAGAAGTGACACATCTCCCCCAATATGACAGTTTTATGGAGATGAGGGGTGGAATCAGGAGACTGCTGGAGATGCTCTAACTGAACGGCCCCTAAATATTGTTTGGAGGCGGCTTGTGTATTGCTTGGTAACGATTCCAACTCATCGTGCTGAACCTCTGTGATTCGTTCGGCTTCCGAACAAGTTTCTTCGCGCCCGTAAAGCTTTTGTTTGTGATCAGCTACTTAACACCACAATTTACATATACATATATCTCATTGCCAATATATAGAGGTGCTTGAGATTGCTCTACAAACTTTGCTCCACAAACTCCACAGTGGAGCAGCTCCACAAAAAACTGGAATTTATACAACTCCACCCTTTTTCCTCGAACAGAGTGCGTGGAGGTAAAACCGTTTGACTAAAAAACATGAAACGGAGCTAAAAACCGTGAAACGGATTAGTCCCAAATACCTCCATAAAAAGAACTTGGTGCCACGGAATAAAAAGAACGGGTACGCCCACCTGATGTAGGAATTTTCACAGAAAAATGCAAGATTTATAAAATAATCCCACAATCTTGAACTTAATAGTTTTGTGCAAACCCACATCCCAAAAACATGACTAGTTGTAACTTTATGGTAAGTCAAACTATTTTTAATAGTATAAACAAGTTCATAAAAAATAATTACAACTTATCTTTTCACAAACTTCCTGCAAATTTGGAGTTTTTTTTTCACATGCTACAATCTAGGATTTCCTTTGCCACATTTCCGGGGATATGTGAGAAAACTTTACTTAGGCTTCCCTATAAGATGCTCTTATAGCACTTTTTGGGACGATAGCATCCTGGGCTTGCTCTTATAACACAAGGACATAAATTGGGTGCCTATTTGGAAAGTTAAAACAAAAAAACAAAAGAAAAACGCAGAAGATTTCGAATCTCACAAAAGCATGCAAACATTAAAGTGTTTCGTGATCAAATTTGGCTGAGGTTCCACATCTCCTGCGAACCACTCTGAATGAACCTGGACACAACATTGCCTAAAGAGATGATGGAAAGTGAGGACACTAACTTGTGATGAAATGCTTAATTAGGAAATTGGATAAATATAAGAAATAGATTCTGAATTTGCTGTATAAAGTATAAACATAGCGTTTACAGCAGTTACTATGTACCCCAACAAAAACCAAATATTGCTTCTGAATTAAGAAAAAATTACCATTATGATGCAGGAATCCATTGGTTGCCCACCCTCAGAGGTAACATGACTTACACCAAAAATGGGTACACTAGTCTACAACTACAACAAAGTTATAAAAGAGAAAACAAATGATATCAAACCAGTAAGCTTGTAATATTTCATCTTACGGCAATGTCTGTATATGTACAGGAGCAAGTTCCGTTATTTTCTTTCGCCAACACAGATGGCAACAATGGCACTTCTGTAACTAGAGACGTCGCCGATGAAGCAGGAAAAGAAAATAGCTAGCAAAAATGCTAGCAAAGCCTCTTCAATCTTTCCTGCCAGCCTCCCCAAGCTACTCCGCTCCATTTAACCTCAGGTTAGTGACAAAAGACAGATGAATGGCCATGGCCAAGCGAGCATGATAAAAATGCTTGCTTAGCCCCTTCAATCATGTGAAAAGAACAGATGGCGGTTGCTTGAAGCTGGCGCTGAAAGCACCTGCTTTATTTGACGATGTTAACATCTTATCCTTAGCGCCTGTTCAGAAGAATCTGGCTGCTGGTTGTTTTCGCTATGGATGGGTCGGGCCCAAATTTTGATTAGCCCCTCGCGGCATATAGTGAGGATTGATTCACTAGTGAATTCCAGGCCAAATAGGGGATCTACATGTACCCGGTGTGCAACAAGAGGTGAGAGCTTTGGCACATCTCGCATCCGTGGAGAAGGCTGGAGAACACCGGTTGGAGGACATGCATTGTCCCAGTGTGCAGAAGGGCTTCCACTACTGAATGTCGGTGAGCCACCGGAAGGATTGCGTAGAGGGACAGCAATCTCTTCCAATGCCAGATCCCAGAGAAGCAGTTGGGTATCCTAAGTGCAAGCAAAGTGAAAAGGTATCATTGCCAGTATTAATTCTGTCCAACAATCAATACCAGGTAAAGGCTATAGCACATCCTATGTTCAAGAAACAATCACAGAATATCAAGTTATACCACTAATTAATTAATTAATTAAGGAAAAATAGTTTGAAGCCCAATTTTAGAACAAAATACAGAGAAGGAATAGGCACCAAGCGATCAGAAGTACAGCAGGAGCATGTTCTCTTTCTAGCATCAAGTGCAACACAAACTGCTAAGAGTCTAACAACTAGCAAGAGCCAAAAATTCTAGATTCTAGTAGCATTTTCAGTTCTTCTCAGTATTCAGAAGCTCAGAAAGTATAAAAGGATAAATTGTGACTAGTACTTGATTCAGAGATACTATCATAAAAAATCCACAAGAAAAACTCCAGATAAAAAAAATCTTATATCAACTTCTAGGTACCTGTCCAACTGACCCAAAGCGATACATGACATTTTCTTCCGTTTCATCTGAATTTGGTGGGGACCAATACGGATCAAAAGAAACTGCACTAACCTGTATAATTGCAAATTAATTTGACTCAAAATGCAAGTTTCAATTAAAAATGCCTATGTGATAATAAACAAAGACAATTGTAATGATAATATCACCCATGAATTATGCCCTTCGCCCCATGCAACTATCTTTCTTTCATCCATGCTCCATACTTGCACAAGATCATCTTCACCACCTGATAACAAATATTTGCCATCCGCACTGTAACAGGACATCACAACTAATTAGCACCTTCTAGATTCCAATTCACAGAAGTGCAGAGAGAATAAAACAAGATTCAAACATGCAATGGTTGTATGCATAAATTAGTCAATCCATTCTAAAGCTAAGATGTTAGTGGGAAAGGTTTGAGTATGGAACTCGTTGAACAAATAGACATGTATCAAATATTGAGAACAGAGTAGTAGCTTGGTTTGTTAGTACTCCAGTTGAGATGACGGCCACTGGGCTCAACCAGTGGATCGCCAACTTGTGGGTACCTCCCTGAGAAACCGGGTTTCAGTGACTTCATGGCTAGCAAAGCTTCACCCCACCTGCTACCACCCTATCACAAATCCCACTCAACCCACCTCATTGCAAGCCCTTCTTTCCCATTCATTCCATCCCACCCCAAAGCCTTCAACTTCAAGGGCACAACTGAAACTGAATTAAGCACTGTCCCCTACCCTAGCCATGTGCAGGATGATTTCAAAAAAATCTGGCTGATCAGGTATCATATGTGGCTATGTAGTCCACCTTTACACTGACCTGAGAATATTGTTTGTTAATGCAGTATATCATACTGAGCAATGGCTGTTGTCAGCTGAGATATAAGCCATGGCCCTGTGTCATTGTACAAGCTGCTACAACCCAATAGCCTATACATTTCCACCATGTACCACACTTCAAATTTATACATTGTACTAGATGTGCCTTCATCCTTCATCTTCGACTTATAATTACTTTGATGGATAAGTCTGGCTGGTCTGGTCTTTGTGGGGCTGCTGGCTGTTGCTGCCACAAGGACAGCATCTTAGCATCTAGGACAGCATCTTAGAGGACAGCATCTTAGCATCTTAGTCTAGCATCTTGGCATATGCTTGGCTGGCTAGCAACCTATAAATATGTATCCCCAACCCCTCAGGTTGGCATGGTATTGAGAAATAAACCAGAAAATTGCCCCAACTCCTAGTGTCATCCTCTCTCGATGAGAGTAAGAATTCTGCTACTACCAAGAGTAAGAATTCAGCGACTAACAACTTTGTTATTTACCTATTCCCATCTTGCCATTTCTATTTTTTCTCCAAGAATTTCAAATTTTCCATTTAGATGCTTGTAATCATGAATTCTTCAAATAACAGAAAACTTGTGTTATGTGGCTGGAGGATTGAGAGGGAGAGGCGAGGGGAGCGACGGCGGCTGACGCGCTACAGTACCGCGGGTACTGTTCACGGGTATGGCTGCGAGGGCGAGGGAGAGCCGGCCGGTCAAGAGGGAAGGGATTTCCTTCTTAATTCTTGCTTGATTAGATCGACACATCTCCTCTCCTTATATAGAGAGGTTTACTTGACTCCCAAGCAAGACTTACTTGACCCTTAAGTAAGCGACCCTTATCTCTAATTAACCCTAACACTAATGGGCTATACAGCCAACCCAGGCCCAATAGGCCCCTGACGTACTCTAACACTACACCCCACCTGGACATGCAGCTCGTCCTCGAGCTGCAACCTAACGAACTTATAACGCTGACTCGACTCCTAACACATAAAAACATGCCTTTTACATCTTGGCTTATTTTATTATTCTCAACCTGAAATAGACTGGGACTCTTTATTTTTGGACTCCTGAACATAAGGTGGACACCATCCGCCTCCTGGATCCCATGGACACCATCTAGACGAAAGGGGTGCATGTGTATGGCCACCTAGAAGTGGTCGCAACAGCGACCATGCGACGGCGCTACGCGGTGCGCTCTCGCTGGTGACCCCACACCTTCTCCCCGCCAGACGGCTGCTGGTCTGCACCGCACAGAGAAGAGCGGAGGGCTTCCGATGGAGAACGAGGTGGAGGGATGCGCCTCCCCAACTGCTGCCCGCAGGGAAAATAGCATGCCCG